GGATCTAATTGACATCTAGAGAACACGTCATCTAACAACAGCAGAATATACATTCTTTTCAAGCTTACATGGAACACTCTCCAAGACAGACCACATTCAAAGTTATAAAATACACCTTAACAAATTTTTAAAAAGAAAAACCATACAGTGTATTTCCTCACACCAGGGTGGAATTAAACTAGAAATTGCTAAAAACAACAACAAAAACCCCTAGAAAATCTCCAGATGCCTCGAGATTAAACAACACATTTCCACATAACACATAGATCAAAGAAGAAATCGCAAGAGAAACTTTAAAAAATTTTCTGAAGTAAATGAAAATGGAAATAGAACTTATTGAATCTTATGGAATACAGTGAAAGTAATACTTAGAGGGAGATTTATAGCATTGAATGCATATTTAAAAAAAAGAAGGGTGTTCTAAAATCAATACTCCAAGCTGCCAATTTAGGACATAAGTAAAAGAAGACAAATTAAATCCAAAGTAAGCAGAAGAAAAGAAATAATAAAAAATAGAGAAGAAATCAATAAACTGAAAACAGAAAACCAATAGAGAAAATCAACAAAACCAAAGCTGGATCTTTGAAAAGACCAATAAAAGTGATAAGCTTCTGGCCAGGCTAATTAAGGGAAGAAAGAGAGAAGACACTAATTACGAGTATCAGAAGTAGAAGAGAGGACATCACTACAGATTCCATGAACATTAAAAGGATAATAAAGGAATATAATGAACAACACTATGCCCACAGATTTGATGATCTTGATGAAATGGAGCAATTCTCTGAAAGACACAATCTGTCAAAACTCACATAGGAAGACATAGACAATCTGAATAGGCCTGTATCTATTAAAGAAATTGAATCAACTACTGATAACCTTCTAAAACAGGAAACACCAGGCTTGGGTAGGTTCACTAGTGAATTCTACTAAATATTAAAGCAAAAAAAAAATTATACTAGCAGAATCTAGTATTCTCTAAAATATCTTCCAAAAGATAGAAGTAGAGGTAATTCTTCATAACTTTTTCTATAAGGCCAGCATTCCTCTAATTCCAAAACAAGACAAAGACATTATGAGAAAACTATAAGCCAATATCCCTCATAAACATAGATGCAAATTCCTCAACAAAACATTAGCAAATGAAATTCAAAAATATATTTAAAAACATATACACCATTATCAACTCAGATTTATTCCAAGTATGCAAGTCTGGTTCAAAATCTGAAAATCAATTAATGTAATCCATATTAACCAGCTAAGGAAGAAAAATCATGTGACTATATCAATAGGTACAGAAAAAGTATTTGACAAAATCCAACACCTATTCAGGATAAAACAAAAATTCTCAGCAAACTAGGATAGAAGGGAATTTTCTCAACTTGGTAAAAGAAAAAAAAAAAAACGCCTACAAAAAAAAACGAAAACAAATATCAGACTTAATACTAAAAGCTTTCCAGCTAATATCAGGAACGAAAAGATGTCTCCTCTCACCACTGCTTTTAAACATCAAAATGGAAGTCTTAGCTAATGCGACAAGACAAGGAAACAGAAGGTATACAGATTGGGAAGGAAGAAATAAAACTGTCTATTCACAGATAAAGTTTCGGTAGAAAAAGAAAGGATCAACAACAACAACAACAACAAAAAAACCCTCCTGTAACTCATAAGTGATTATAGCAAGTTTGCATGATGTAAGATTAATATACAAAAGTCAACTGCTTTCCTGATACTAACAAATGAACAATTGGAATTTGAAATTAAAAACAAAATACCATTTACATTAGCACCTCAAAAAATGAAATACTTCAGTATAAATCTAACAAAATGTGTGCAAGTTCAATATGAGAAAAACTACAAAACTCTGATGAAAGGAACAAGGGAACTAAACAAATGTAGAGCTATTCCATGTTTATGGACAGGAAGATTCGATATTGTTAAGACGTCAATTCTTTTTGATCTACAGATTCAATATACTCTCCATCAAAATCCTAGCAGGTTATTTCGTGGGTATCAACAAACTATTCTCAAGTTTATATGGAGAGGCAAAAGATTCAGAATAGCCAACACAATTTTGAAGAAGAACAAAACAGAGGACTGTCATTACCTGATTTCAAGATTTACCATAAAGCTATAGTAATCAAGACAATGTGTTATTGGTGAAAGAAAATACAAAAGAGGTCAATAAACCAGAGTAAAGAGCCCAGAAATAGACCCACAAAATATAGGCAACTGATCTTTGACAGAGGAGCAAAAACAATTCAATGGAGAAAGGACAGTGTTTTCAACAAATGGTGCTGAAACAATCGGGTTTCCACATGAAAAACAAAAACAAACCAAAAATTAATCTAGACACAGACCTTATACCCTTCACAAAAATTAACTCAAAATGGATTGTAGACCTAAATGTGAAATGAGTAAAGTGGTGGGTCCTGGAGGATCCTCTGAGACTCAAGAGACAGTCACAACTTAAGTGTATAGTGCATCTGTTATTACTGCCTAGAGAGGGGTAGGTCTGGAGGGAGAGTAAGGGCACTGACCCGACTCCAAAATTACATGACATGAAAAGAGACTCCTTGGATCAAAAAGAGCTAGAGATTTGGAGTCAGGTGATTTAGTATACCACTGCATAGCTGTGACCTTGACGTGCCCTTCAGTTTCCTTGTTCTCATAACCATGATTATAAGGATCAAGTGAATTGGCAGGTGTGAAAGTCCTCAGTAATAGAAATCACATTCTTGTGGAAGATTGAAACCACAAAGAGGTACAGTGCAGAGATGGGTGAAATAATCCACATCTGCCAAAAAAAGGACTGAAAATGCCCCGGTTGTGGGAAAGGATATTGGGAGAAAGAGTTAGCTAGTTCTAATGAGTGATTGCTTATGGAGAAGTTGGGGATAGGAAGAAGCCAGTTGTGATCTTAGGATTTCTTTTTGGTGCTACAAGAAAAACAAAAGGGGGAGGATGTCCTTCAGAGACAGAACAAGTTAGGAGAGGCAAGCAGTTTTTCATGGAAAGTGGTGAGTTAGGTTTGTAAGGGCCAAAGCTTAGTCTCCAAGTGGAAACATCCACTGAATAATTTAATATGAATGACAGAGACTCAGAGAAAATGAGGCCAGAGATACAGAGGTGGAAGCCATCTGCTCTGAAGGTTGATAGGTGAAGACACAGGGCACCAGTGAGACCTGGAGGCACTGGACAGAGGGAAACAAGCCAGAGGGCTGGGACCAACACCTCTATGGCAGACTCTGCCTGAAGTGCTCAGTTTCCTAGATGGCTGGTGGGCTGTTAAAACCAAGTCACCAGACATCCATCACTCCAAGTGCTGCCCTTTAAGTCTTCCTCCTCCAATTTAAACCTTAGCTAATTAATCAAATGAGACGACACTTTCAGAGATTTGTTCTTTTCTATACTAACCATCTCTTGTCTCTAGGCCCTTCTCCAAAGTCTTCATTGAATAGTTTAATAAGCCTGTTGGAGTTTTTACTAGCTGTCTCCTTCAGTAAATATCTGCCAAGGAAAAGTCTTCAAGTGTGTGATATCTAACAGGCTGGACACCTAAAGCGGTTATTGAAATAGGCCCTGCAGACATGACAGCTTGTGATAATGGCTCCAGAACTATTATTGGAAAACATTTCAAGGCTTTTCAAAAATTTTTTTTTTCTTTTTAATTCCTGGACCACTGACCTCATTAGCTCTGAGGCTCTTACCACTGTGTGAGCTCAATGCCGCACCCCATTGTCAGAGTCAACAATAGCCTGTCCTCTCTGGTCCAATTGTCTCTCAGGTTTTCTGCCACAAATACATTCACAATCCTTTCCATTTCCTTCACAATCCTTTACAATCCTTTACATTTGGACAATTATGTCCAAAATTTGGCCAGAGAAATCCAAAGAAGTTTGGATTTTCTTTTATTACTGATTCTTGTTCCTTAAAACTTTGATAATTTAAAGTCATTCTTTGAGCTAACAAGGCTTTGGGGTTTTTATTTGGTTTGGTTTGGTTGGTCCCTACCCTGAGCAAATGAACAAGGCAAGCCATTTCATCCACATGTTTCATTTCCCTGTGGCCAGGCTCACATCTATTACAAAGATGTCTCAATGCCAGCTACCCAGCGTCTCCTGAGAGACGATAGATGGGCATGGGATAGGAGATGCTCAGAGGGACTGGAATCAAGCACTCCTGGCATCTAACAAGGCAACCACATGGGGACCTCAGTTCTCATCCGCAGAGATAAACACCCTTTCCGCATGTGTCCCCAGTGATATCCCCATACTTCCTCTAAAGAGTCCCGAAAAGAGGGTAAGAAGCATCATGTGAAATATGATCTTTATTTTAAGTGACTCAGAGCCCTTTTCCACTTTTCAAACATTGGCTCATTATCCAAGCACATTTAGTAATTTCCTGTGTGGAGAGTTGTGCTAGGCATTATACAAAGCTAATTAAACAGACACGGCCTAACCTCTAGGCATTTATGATTTAAGGAAGACAAAGCCAGTGGAGACAGAGGAACTAATTCAGGACATAAAAGAAATTAAGCGAGTACCACCCAGCCATGTAGATGAACTACACAGTAAATGTGACACTGGTCTCTACTGGCAGCAACAGGACCAGCCAGCCTGCCTGGGGACTTCTAAACGTTCTAAAATAAGTTTATTAAAGTTGATTGTGACTACTATTTATCTGTTCAATCCTGTATACTTGGGAGCTTGCCAAGCCTAATGAAAGCAGATAACGGACAATATCTTCTTGCCACTCCATTCTGCAGAGAGGGCTCGCCAGAAGTAGATAGATACCTTCTAACGCAGACCCCGCACCTCCCTTAACTTATGTAAGCTTCAGTTCTGTATGTCTCTGCTTGCTTCGCTGTAGTCCCTTTTGATGAGCCTGACTTAGGGTCCGTTCTGGCCTCCCTAGGCTTATCTTCCTAGAATCATCTGCCTAGCACAAAGGCCAGGTTTCTCCACTTTATTCTCGGTAAAGTACTCATTTCAGGGAGGCACTAGCTGGGCACAGTAATTAAAGTCAATGAAAGGGTCAGAGTCAGCAGGGTTACTGCTTGATATCAGGACTCCCAAGGTCCCCGGAGATCCAATAATTGTATTTGGACTGAGTGGGTTTGGATAACTTTCCAGACTAGGTTAGGAAAAAGAACGCATTAGACCAGGGGTCTGACAAAGAGTTTAGAAGCAGAGGGTAAAGTTCTTGTTACTGCTCTGTAGGAAAGCAGAATTACATTTTTATTAAAGTGGTCAGTTCTGCTGTGAGATTGTCGGTTACTTTATACTGGTAACAGAGGACAGTTTCCGAAAGTGCTGCTGGGAGTGACCCAGCAGGGCCAGTGAAGACCAGGGATCTTCCATGGAGCCAAACCGCCAGGAGACCCCTACAGTCATCGGTCCACAGCCTATCCCGGTGCTACCTGAGCAGCAATACACTGTAGTCCGCATGGTCCCTTCAGACCCAGCGCTCTACTGCTTCTGCGCCTGTGTGGGAAACAGGCATCTTTGACAAGGCCGGGAACCTCCCAGCAGGGTCCAGGCCCAGCCCTGCCCTCGAAATCAGCAGGGGCTGCTGCAGAGCAGTCTCCGCTCTTTCTGGGACTATGCTTAGATCCCACAAACCCTCCCGTCCTCTTTTTTGTAGCTTCTCAAGTGTCCTATCCCCTCTATGGTGTTGTTGACCTCCCACATACCTTGCGTAATTTCTCAACAGGTTTAGGCTTTTCAAAAATCCAGAAGGTGCACATCTTGCAGGAAACTGGCTTTTGGCTCAGAAACCGTCCCTGAGTTAAGAAGGCCAAAAAGCTCTACTTGCTTGAAATGGGGAAAAGGAAAAAATGTAGGAAGAAGAATTATTCTTAAGAGGTAGACTGGCTATAATGCAGACACAAAAGCCAGGGGCTTAACTCTGCCCAAGGCAAAAACGAGGCCCAGAGATGGTTAAATAGAGAAATGGTTTTAAGATGAATCTTCATGTATATAAAACTTACATTTAACCTTCAAGAATATACATTTTGTAAATTGGGAAAAACCTACATAAATCATTTTTTTTCCCAATTCACAAATTAAACTCCAGGTGGTCCAAGAATGTAGCAAAAATCACTTTTATTTTTTTTGGCATGTGGTAGATTTCCTAGTGATGACAATAACAGCAGTGACAATTATAATGAAAACATAGAATGGCATGAACTAATAAAAATGTTCTGACATCCAAGTATATATATATTTTAGGTTTGCCTGGAGGGACTGTGGAGATCAAGTTAGTCCCTACTTTCCACTAGCCTTATTCCCCATGCCTAATTGTAACATGCATAGAGACTGACATGAGTTTGAGTGATTGAGTGAAATCAGACACATCGAACTTCCCAGGTCCACTAATTAATACCTTGTCAAATAGGAAGACAGTGGTGCACTCAAGGGGAAAAGCCCAGGAGTAATTATACAGTGGCCAGGTTAGGACTCAGTGACACTGACTTATTGGCCCTGAGCTTCTGACATTGCCTGTCAAGATCGATTTATAACAGGAATGACTCATCTACCCTTCTTAGTCTAAGATCAAGTGTGTGTCCTCTGCTCAGGGGAGTCTAACTTTCTTTGGCAGACTGATGGAGTCAAAGTCTAATTAACACGATGATAAATCACATGGAAGCCTTTGCCTATTACCTGATTCTCAGATAACCCATTCCATGTTCTACATTGCCAATTGCCTGGTCTCTGTGCTTTTCGAAAGGATCAAGGGAAGGACTGCCCTGAATTAAAGTACAGTGTTTCTTGGTGGGGGGTGGGGGGAGGAAACAAATAAAAACCTGTGTCTTCTGTAAAACAGAAAATAGGAAAGAAGGATAAAAGGAGAAAGGAGACATATATTGAGTATCTTTAAGATACAACTAGGCTCTCTCTGTTACACCGCTATTTGTGTTTTTCACAAGTCTGCTGGATCCAACCAAAAAGTCAGGTCACCAGGTAGAATCTGTCTTGGACATAGGCTGGGAGTGCCTCGGGTTTGGCCAAAAAGGAATTATTTCAAATGTCTGAGGAACCTGTGGAGAGCAAATGAATTCCAGTAAATGCTGCAAAAATGAAGAAAAGCAAAAGTTTGTGTGGTCAATCTGTACATCCTTGTTCTACCATGTCCTAGCTGACAGACCTGAGATCAGGTCCTTGACTTCTCTAAGCCTCAGTTTCTTTATCTCCAAAATAGGGAATTAAATGCTATAATATGGGACAGAGAATGAGTTTGATTTTAGACTCTGTGAGCTCGAAGGTCCAGAAGCACTACCAGGTAAAATGTTGGAAGTATGTTAAAACAATATTGAAATCAGGCCAAGTAAGAACTCTGCAATGTCCTCTAAGTGTTCAAGAGAAAGGAAGAGTTGCATTCTCTCACTTTAAATCAAAACCTAAAAATGATTAAGCTTAGTGAGGAAGACAGAGGTAGGCCAAAAGCTAAGCCTTTTGAATCCAAGAGTTAGCCAAGTTGTGAATTCAAAAGAAAAGCTCTTGAGGAAATTAAAAGTGCTACTCCAGTGAACACACAAATGCTAACTATCTTCACCACCATCACTAGGACCAAAGGACTCAACAGAAGCAGGATGAGAGAACAAGAGCCCACAGCTGGAAGCCAAGAGCTATTGTTTGAAACTTGCTCAACTAGGAAGTTCAATGGTTTAAAATCTAAAACACATTTTTCATTATAATTTCTAGAGTCAATGAGATTTATATCTTATATAAAGTTACGACTACCAGCCCTTTATCTGTAGTGTCATTTGCAAATACCTTCTCCCATTCTGTGGGTTGACCCTTTGTTTTGTTGACTGTTTCCTTTGCTGTGCAGAAGCTTTTTATCTTGATGAAGTCCCAAAAGTTCATTTTTGCTTTTGTTTCACTAGCCTTTGGAGATGTATCTTGAAAGAAGTTGCTGTGGCCGATGTCAAAGAGGTTACTGCCTATGTTCTCCTCTAGGATTTTGATGGATTCCTGTCTCACATTGAGGTCTTTCAGTCATTTTGAGTTTATCTTTGTGTATGGTGTTAAAGAATGGTCGAGTTTCATTCTTCTGCATGTGGCTGTCCAATTTTCCCAGCACCATTTATTGAAGAGACTGTCTTTTTTCCCTTGCATATTTTTTCCTGCTTTGTCGAAGATTATTGGACCATAGAGTTGAGGGTCCATATCTAGGCTCTCTATTCTGTTCCAGTGGTCTATATGTCTGTTTCTGTGCCAGTACCATGCTGTCTTGGTGATCACTGCTTTGTAATAGAGCTTGAAATCAGGCAACGTGATGTCCCCAGGTTTTTCTTTTTCAGTATTTCCTTGGTGGTTCAGGGTCTTTCCTGATTCCATACAAATTTTAGGATTGTTTGTTCCAGCACTTTGAAAAATGTCATTGGAATTTTGATCGGGATGGCATTGAAGGTATAGATTGCTCTGGGCAGCATAGATATTTTAACAATGTTTATTCCTCCAATCCATGAGCGTGGAATGTTTTTCCATCTTTTTCTGTCTTCTTCAATTTCTTTCATGAGTGTTCTGTATTTCCTAGAGTATAGATCCTTTACCTCTTTGGTTAGGTTTATTCCAAGGTATCTTATGGTTTTTGGTGCTATTGTAAATGGAATTGTTCCTCTAATTTCTCTTTCTACAGATGCATTGTTAGTGTATAAGAAAGCAACTAATTTCTGTGCATTGGTTTTGTATCCTGCCACATTACTGAATGGCCGTATGAGTTCTAGTAATTTAGGGGTGGAGTCTTTTGGGTTTGCCACATAAAGTATCATGTCATCTGTGAAAAGAGAGAGTTTGACTTCTTCTTTGCCAATTTGAATACATTTTATTTCTTTTTGTTTTCTGATTGCTGTTGCTAGGACTTCTAGTACTATGTTGAACAATAGTGGCAAGAGTGGGCATCCTTGACGTGTTCCAAGATCTATAAAGAACTTCTCAAACTCAACACCCAAAAAACAAATAATCAAGTCAAAAAATGGGCAGAAGACATGAACAGACACTTCTCCAAAGAAGACATACAAAGGCTAACAGACACATGAAAAAATGTTCATCATCATTAGCCATCAGGGAAATTCAAATCAAAACCACACTGGGATGCCACCTTACACCAGTTAGAATGGCAAAAATGGACAAGGCAAGAAACAACAAATGTTGGAGAGGTTGTGGAGAAAGGGGCACCCTCTTACACTGTTGGTGGGAATGCAAGTTGGTACAGCCACTTTGGAAAACAGTGTGGAGGTGCCTCAGAAAATTAAAAATAGAGCTACCCTATGACCCAGCAATTGCACTCCTGGGTATTTACCCCAAAGACACAGATGTAGTGAAAAGAAGGGCCATATGCACCCCAATGTTCATAGCAGCAATGTCCGCAATAGCCAAACTGTGGAAACAGCCGAGATGCCCTTCAACAGATGCATGGATAAAGAAGATGTGGTCCATGTATACAATGGGATATTACTCAGCCATCAGAAAGGATGAATACCCAACTTTTACATCAACATGGATGGGACTGGAGGAGATTATGCTAAGTGAAATAAGTCAAGCAGAGAAAGTCAATTATCATATGGTTTCACTTATTTGTGGAACATAAGGAATAGCATGGAGGACATTAGGAGAAGGAAGGGAAAAATGAAGGGGGGGGAATCGGAGGGGGAGAAGAACCATGAGAGACTATGGACTCTGAGAAACTGAGGATTTTAGAGGGGAGGTGGGTGGGGGGATGAGTTAGCCTGGTGATGCGTATTAAGGAGGGCACATACTGCATAGAGCACTGGGTGTTATACGAAAACAATGAATCGTGGATCACTACACCAAAAACTAACGATGTATTGTATGGTGACTAACATAATAAAATTAAAGTAAAAAAATAAAGTTACAACTTTCATTTTTCAGAAATTCTGTTACACATCCAAAACTTTCATAAATTCCATAAACAAGGTGTTTATAATTCTAACTGGAGGAAGTCATACTTCATATCCCGCTATTACAAATGTTATTTGTGACTCGATTTTACTGTGTTTTCTACATAGCACTATATTTTTTTTAAGAGTAAACAATTCAGCACTTTATAGCACAAAGCTGAGTTTATATAAAACATCTCAGTCTTCAAATACAGGATAAGACTAAATTTAATTTTGGCCAGGTAGCATGTGAGTAAATCACTCCCCAGAACAAAATGGAGAAATAATGGAATAAAGCCTTATCATTAACATGGATTTTTGAAATAGTGTCTAGAGTCAATCAAGATCTCAGTAGTATTTCTCAATTAAAATAGTAACTTACATGTCTATGTCTATCTTTTTTAAACTGGGGTAAAATATACATAACATAAAACTTATCGCCTTAACCATTTTTAACTACACAGTTCAGTAGTGTTAAGTACATACACACTTTTTGCAACCTACCTCCAAAACTCTTTTTATCTTGCAAAGCTGAAGCTTTAA